AAAGATCAAATCTCTTTTGGAGTCTCAACATATTATTTTCTATATTTGCTATTATTTAACATTTCATTGGCGATCTAAAGAAGCCGAAAGTAGAAAACAATCATTGTTAGTCTGGAAGGAAAGACAGACTGAGCTCTGCCATTTAACAAGGTGACAAAAAAAGTCTCAGCTTATTTTTATTGTTTTTATTAATATCTGAGGGCAGAGGACAAATAAGACATCTTAATAAATGACTTTGGTGGAATTTTTAGACAAAGAAAACAGTTATTCTACTTGTAGAAAACGAATGTTTTTTTGTTGACCTGAATTCAAAGTGGTAGGGAAGCGTCTGTTCCAACCGTTGCATTTCCGAATTTTCCCGAGTGGTGCATGAATTTAGACGAGTGAATAAATTGAATGTGATTGGTCGTTTATCAAGGGGGCGGGATTGTTTTGGCGGAAGGTTCGCAAGCAAGTTTGGTTGTGGCCGGTTTGTCGGAAGCATCTTGCTTCCGGAACTCTTCTGGGACGGACCTCAAAGGGAAAGGAATTGATTCGGATTTCAACCGTGTATTTCAACGCGTATATTAGATGCTATGACCAAAAGAATTTGATTGACAGATCACCGTTGATATATGATTGGCCAAATTTAGGTGTTCAGGCTGACGTAGAACTAACTGGCCTGCAGAAGATAACGGAAAAAAACACATTTTAAAACAGGATTTTTTTTTTTAAATAGAAATTTTCTAAATCTTGGGACGATATTTTTTGACAAAGAATAAATTTATATGCATGTTTAAGCCAGATTTGACATTTAAATATGATTCTCTAAAACTTTAAAAGTAGTGTAGCTTAATCTTGCTAACTGACTGGGTTAAAAGAGGCTAACCTGTTAGCTAAGAAGCACAGCTAGCCACAGCGCTACCCAGCTCTTTATATCACAGTCTAACAGTTACTTTGTTCACCAGAAAAAGATTTTATTTTAGTTTTGTTATCGATGAGGTAAAACTTTATCCGTCATTAGACATGCTAACGCTGCAGATGCTGCCGACTCGCCACACTGATGCTGCCTGATGCTGTTATTGTTTTCTTGTGGCAACGGTCAGCCAATCATGTAGCGTAACGTCACGGGCAGGAAGCAGGACCCGAGCAGATTGGGTACCTACAGCGGTTCTGTTCACAGTTTAAAATCCAACCATTGTAAAAAGGAAACATTCACCCTGAAAGAGCACAGCCACGGCGCGATCCCAGCAGTTTCCCCTCATTTTACTCATCTGCATCCATTTCATGTAATATGTTTAAAAAAAAAAAAAAAAAAAAGCTTTTTAACATTTTGTATTGTTAATCTCTGAGGGAGCGAACACACGTCCCTGAGGAACACCTTGGAGTTGCAAACGACCCAACAGAAGAGTTGGAGATTTTCTTCAAGGTTTTTCAGAGTTTCTGCTTCACAGATGGGAAATATTTTATGTTTAGGTGAACGTCATTGGTTAACCTTGTATAAAACTGTTCATCAGTAGCAGGAAGTATGTTAACACCATCGCTGTTCTGTGTGGATTATAGACCTGAGCCCTTTTCATTGGAGTTTAAAGGAAAGAAACAGCAGCTGGAACAGAACATGTGGAACTGTAGAGATGGATGACCAGAGAGGAGCAGCTTGGATTATAAATAGGCAGCAAACGATGAGGAAAGTTCTGTTAAACTCCGCTGCGTTCCTTTATCCAGCTCCGGAACTTGGTCATGCGGGTGTAGACGCCAGGTTTGTCCCTTTGGGCACAGCCTTGGCCCCAGCTCACCAGACCCGCCACAAACACACGCCCGCTGGGGTTGATGACGGTCAGAGGCCCGCCGGAGTCGCCCTGCAGGGGGAGACAGTGAGGTCAAACTTTATCGGCTCTGCAGCAGCGTTGTTTCTGACGTCTTTGATTTAAGTTTTAGTCTTCAGGACAAAAACTATTATTAAGTTTTAGTTGCATTTTAGACTAAAACTCAAAAAGGTTTTAGTCTATTTTCATGTTGCAAAAAAAAAAGTTAATCTTTACAATTTTGAATACAAAACAGATTCTTTACCAGACTGACAGATCTAGCCTAGATACTACAGT